GCGTTGTTGTTGCATTTGTCACCAAAACATTTTGTATGGGAGGTATTGCTGCTGTGGAGTTTGTAGTTAATTCATGTATTGAAGACATTTTGGGTCTCTTAGTTGTCTCTGTATTCTTACACTTTTTGTCACTTTTATCGCCTTCTTCCTTATGTTTGCGTTTTTCCTTTTTCTCTTTACGTCCACTGTTCGGCTGATTAACACTATTGGTTACACCTTTGGGATTCTCGTTTGGTGGCAAAGATACAATTTTAGCCACCACTTTATTGATTAAATTATGTTCAATAACCATTTTTCTCATATCTATTTTGGGCTCCTCTTTAGTTAGTTTCTTTTTGGCCGGTGATACATCCAATTTAGCTTCATCTTTAAGGGTATTGGTTGAATCATCGGTGCCACTTTCACTGGAACGTCTACTCAAACCGTCTACATCATTAAGTTTTTTCTTAGCTTTACCCTCTGCTGTACGTTTGCAGTAGGTTTTCTTGGCCTCATCATGTGATATGGGATGTGGTAATATGGTTTGTTTCTCCTTATATTGTGGCGGCTCTGCCAAAACTGGATTATTTTTTTCATTTATAACTTCTTGGCCTGGATAATACTGACGTAAACGCAAATGCCAAGCTAAAATAGCAAATAAGACAGAAAAGTTAAAATCTTTAATTCCTAAAAGTTAAACTGTAATTTAATTACCAACACTGGTTACTGCTGTTACGGTACGAAATTGATGTATAATATTACGCGGCAAAAAGTATATATCATTATCACATAATTTAATGCGAGCATAACGTATGCCATCCCGCCTCAATTGATTTAGTTTAGCATCCTCAATCCATTGGACACATTGTGAAATGGGCGGTTCGTGTAAATCGAGTTGTAAAGTTTCAACTAATTGATTGAAATCTTGTGCTGCAAAAGCTACTACATCTTTGGTAATACGATTCTGTTCGTAAGTTTGACCACAATGAACTGCTTTTAGAATGCCTGAAATAAGATATTATAATTGGAATTAATAAAGTATAGTGGAAAACCAATTCGCTACAAAGGCAAAGAGAAAAAAGGTAGAAATAATTCAACATGTTTGAGCTAAAGTAATGGAGATGACGTCATTACGACGGTTGGAAGCGATAGATGTGGTACTAGTTATAAAAGTTACGGTTAGGGTCATTCCCTAACTACTGATGGTGTTCCCTAGATATTGCTGCTGCGACTACCGCTCTCAATTGCATCTTGTCAACAACAAATAAAGGCTGTGAAATTCAAACATAGTTCTGTCATCACTACTTATCGACCCGACTCCTACTCGGTAAACAATATTCAACCCAGCTTTCAACAGCTGCATAAACAGAAAGTTTCTTTTACTCAGGAAAGAACTATGGAGCCCCAGTCGAACACCTCTGCACAGTAGAATTGTTTACAAATAAAATCGACTTTGGAATTTTTTAATAAAATTTTGATATTTTTGGCGAAATTTTGAATTGTTAGTGAAATTTTGAGTTTCTAGTGAAATTTTGAATTTCTAGTGAAATTTTGAATTTTTAGTGAAACTTAAAATTTTTATTGAAAATTCCAAATTTCCAGTGAAATTTTTAATTTTTACTGAAATTTTTAATATTGAGTGAATTTGAAAATTCCAAATTTCGAGTGAAATTTTTAATTTTTACTGAAATTTTTAATATAGAGTGAAAAATGAAAATTGTAGTAAAAATTTTTTAGTGAAATTTTAAATTTTTATGAATTTTTTATCAAAATTTTGGATTTTTATTGAAAACTTGACTTTTTAAAGAAAATTCAAAGTTTTGGTGAAAATTCGAATTCTTAGTGAAATTTTTAATTTTTAGTGAAATTATGAATTTTTAATGAAATTTTTAGTTTCTAATGAAATTTTGAATTTCTAATGAAATTTTGAATTTCTAATGAAATTTTGAATTTTAAATGTTAGTGAAATTTTTAACATCGAGTAAAATATTAAAATTTTAGTAAGAAAAATTAATTTTTAGTGAAATTTGGAATTATCAAATTTTAAATTTTTTATAAATTTCTCGTTAAATTTTTAGTTTTGGCGAAATTTCAAATTTCTATTAAAATTTCGAATTTCTAGTGAAATTTCGAATTTCTAGTGAAATTTTGAATTTCTAGTGAAACTTGGAATTTCTAGTGAAATTTCTAATTTTAGGTGAAATTTCTAATTTTAGGTGAAATTTCGAATTTCTAGTGAAATTTATTGGATTTAAATATTTTATTGAACTAACTACAATTATTTTTATATAACAAAACTAATAATTCATAAACAACATTGATCAAATACAATGTTCAAAAACAGTGTTACAAAACATTAATTAGTTAAAATAACATATTTAACACTTTCCCTTGTTTTAATTAATTAATATTTAAACAATTTCGTAAATGTTGCAATCGAGGTTTAGGCAAAGGTTTTGTCATCATATCAGCCACTTGATTTTCTGTTGGCACTTGAGATACCTTTAAATGACCCTCAGTAACTTTTTCTCTAATGAAAAAATGCTTCAAAGCAATATGCTTAGTTCGTTTATGAAACTCCGGGTTTTGTGCTAATCGTATTGCCGCAGTGTTATCAATATGAATTACAGGAAGTTCATTATAGTTGATTAAATCATTAAAAAGTGTTTTTAGCCAAATTATTTCTTTTGCACCCTCGTTTGCAGCTACTATTTCTGCCTCTGTTGTTGAAGTCGACACCATTGGTTGTCTCTGGCTTAACCACGAGATAGCTCCACCTGCATATGAAACAACAACACCAGATGTTGAACGACCAGTATTTGTACACCCACCAAAATCAGCATCACTATAACAAGTTAGCTTCTTTGGACCTTGTCTTTTGTAAATTATACCAAAATTTATTGTGCCGGCGATATATCTGAAAACTCGCTTTACTCTTTGAATATCTTCAACGGTAGGATTTTCTAGGGATCTTGATAAAAACCCAACACTATATGCAAGGTCAGGCCTTGTTCCCAGCATAAGATACATTAGTGCACCTACAGCTTGACGATATGGAAAATCACTGACAACTTTCCCTGATTTCACTTCATTATTCGATTTTTCCATTGGTGTTGAAACTGGGCGACATTCGGTAAATTTGAATCTTTCGAGTATTTTTGTAGCATAGGCTTTTTGATGAATTTTTATGTGATCATTATTTTTATCAATTTCTAGACCAAGAAAATAGTTTGCATCCTTAACAACTATTTTAAATTCGGATTTCAATTCTTTTAAAAATTCTTCTAAATCGTTATTATCCGAAGCTGCGACTAAGCCATCATCTACATAGAGAGCAATAATCAACTTCTTTCCATTCTTCTCCCTAATGTAAAGACAAGTATCTGCAGAACTTGGCTTAAACTTCAGCTTTTCTAAAAATGTATCCATACGCGTATGCCAGCATCTTGGCGCTTGCTTTAGACCATATAAACTCCTTTTAAGACGACAAACTCTTTTTGTACCATCACCAAAACCTTCAGGTTGATTCATGTATATCGTCTCTTGTAATTCACCATATAAAAACGCGGTTGACACATCAAACTGTTTTAAATGTAGACCTTCAGTAGCTGCTACACTAAGAAGTGACCTAATTGTTGACATCTTAGCTACCGGACTAAAGGTTTGATCATAGTCAATTCCATGCTTCTGCTTAAAACCTTTTATAACAAGCCTCGCTTTATATTTGTCAATGCTACCGTCAGCGTTTGTTTTTATTTTATAAACCCACTTGGCAGGAAGTGCTTTTACATCTTTTTGCGAATCTGTGAGCACCCATGTTTTGTTTTCCTTTAATGAGTTTATCTCGGACTGCATGGCTTTCATCCACTCATCCTTCTTTTCACTCTCAACGGCCTCTTTAAAAGTCATAGGGGTTGTTATTTGATTAACAAATTCTTTAGACATCATTACGAAATCATTATGAGCCGCATTAGATATTATAATTGTGCGATTTCGTAAACGTTTTACATCTGGACCTTCTTCTTCATCTTCAGATATACTTCTTTGCCGCTTATTACGATTTTGTGTTTCGGCATCTTGCACCACAAACTCTTCATCATCACTCTGGTCTTCAGTTTCATATTCAGTTGACGTTTCTTCATCATGTTGTGGTTCGGCATCTTGTTGTTAGGTTTCGTTTGTTGTTTAAACTTTGTTCCTTTCTTCTGATTAAAAACCAACGCTTCTTGATTATTTGAAGAATTTACAACATTATTTGATTTATTAAAATTTCGTTCATACAAACACAACTGCATAATCAATTCATCTAATGATTTATCTCTATCATTCGTCAGCATCATCCAGCTAGATTTAAATACTTCATATGATGTTGGCAATATATTCAAAATTTTACAAATCAGCAATAAATCTGGTAATGTATTTTCTCCTTTCATGCGTAATCCATTGTTTATTTCAGTCCATAGGCTTTTTAATTTGGATACATGAGTTGAAATGTCACAATTTTCATTCCATTCAAAAGAAAACAAGTCATTGCACATTTTATATAGCTGGTCTTTGGAAGTTGCTTCAAACTGTTGATGTAATGCATCCCACATCTCACAAGCAGAATCTTTATCCATTACCTTTAGATAGATTTCATCCGTTATGGTACTAGTTATGATACTCTTGGCATAACTATTTGCTTTGCGATACAAATCTTCATTCTTCTTATGTTCTCTTATTTGTATCTCCGTTGCATTCGTTGCTATGGGTTCTGGTTTGGTTAACTTCTTTTCAACCACATCTAGAGAACCCTCATAGAACTCAAGGAGGTCCCTGACCTTCCTCTTCCATATCGGCCAGTCTGTCTCACCTGATAGGGGCTTAAGGCTTTTAGAAAATTCCATTTTGAATCTTGAAAATCTTGATTATTCTTAAAAATCTTCTTGATTGATCTTGAAAATCTTGATTCACTATTATTTTTATTATTTTAAAATCACTGATTCTTATATTAGTTATTTTCTTGTTTTTCAATAAAATTTTTCTTTTTTATTTATTATAACAAATTTTCTGTTTAACTTCAGAAAATTTTCACAAAATTTGAAATTATTTTCTTAGCTATGTTGGCCCATAACCTATTGGATTTAAATATTTTATTGAACTAACTACAATTATTTTTATATAACAAAACTAATAATTCATAAACAACATTGATCAAATACAATGTTCAAAAACAGTGTTACAATACATTAATTAGTTAAAATAACATATTTAACAAAATTTCTAGTGAAGTTTTGAATTTCTAGTGAAATTTAGATTTTTCTGTGAAATTTAATTTTTAGTGAAATCATGCTTCAATAATCTGGTGGAATTCTTTGGACAAAAAATGTAATAACTATTACAGGGAGTTCAGCGTATATGCTGCTTGGGTATAAGTGGTGACATGAGCACTACGCCAAGGCTCTGAAAACGTTGCTAGATATTCCACCCATATATAAGGTATGAAGCGGAACTTACAGCCGAACAGCTCATAACTTTAGACGTAACGAACAAAGGCTGTTATAGGTTACGTCATTAATTTATACTCAGCACATTGGAAGGCTATAGGTGTGCCCGATCTCATACCAGACACAGAATATGTCGGGAACTTTGCAACACTGATAGAATCTCATATAGAATGTCATGGTTAAGCCGAACATTACAGCAAATTCTAGTAGGAATCCGTTGCTACGCGGTTCTCTCTTGAATGGGTGTCAAGCAGGCTTGTGGTTCTACCTAACCACAATACTATCTTCCAGGTAGAAGTCCGTGCAATAACGGAATATGTAAGTTGGACTTGAATAAATAAAGCGCCAAAAGGGGTTAATATTTATTGATATCCAGAAGGCAATTAGGGCTATATCAGATGATAAGTTTAAATCTGATACTCTCCCAGAGGTAAAGTTTACATCATATGGGTAATAACAAAAACTAGCTTCAAATGGAGCTCAAGTTTTGGGTTAGACTAACACAAAACCATTCGACGCAACTAGGGTTGAGAATTAAAAATATGGGCGAGAGAATCCCATAAGAACTCTTGGAATAATGAAATGGTAGGTAGAACCACAAAGATGAGGAAAGCATAGCAAGAGCAGGACAAGAAGCCTCCTTAAAATAAGCAAATATATGATTATATGATCGAAAGACCATACAGTAAAATCTACCACGAAACACTAGAAAAGAACTCAGTTTCACTTCCAGGACTTTCATGTAGCATTTGCTTCTGCTCCGATTTGTCTCCTCCAGGTGTAGTTGTTGTAACAACTAAAAAATACTCCAGTTAGGGGGTTCTACATCAATGTCCAGGTCTAAAAATTGTGCTAATTCAATTGGATGTATCCATAAATCTATTGGACAAAGTGATGTAGGGTTGACTGAGCATTTGAATATATCGTGGGTATCATGGGGACCTTTACCACATGCTGGACATTCGTTGGGGAAGGAACAGTCTATACGTGACCAGTAGGCATTAAGCCTGCAGCCCCATCCCTATCTTAGTTGTTTCAGAACTATTCTTGTTTTCCGCGGCAGGTTTTCTTCTGTGTCTGCTATTGGTGGTGGGCGGCCTCCAAGTACGACATTCATACGGTATACTGCGACAGCGGAATTGATGACGTCTCTATGAATGTCGTTCAAAACTGCCATCTACAAGTACTGATCTATTTGATCCTGCACATAACTGCGTATGTTCTCCTCGTATATACGAAGATCCTTCCTAGAGATGCATCCAACTGTGTGATGTTAAAGTTGGAATGACCAGAAGGAACTGTTTAGTGTGTTCCTTGACTGGGAGAATCTTCATTTCCTCGTGTAGATGTTGTTCCGTAATTTTTAGGCAGCATTTTGGAGGCTTTTAATGTTTCTCCACTGGATATCACTGAGCGGAAGTGACCACACTGAAACAGTATAATTAACCACTGACCGACCAATCGATTTATATGTAGCTAACAAGGTTTCCTTACCCCAAAAGCTGCCTGCTAGCGCTTTGAGGATCTTATATATACCTTGCAATTTGTATGCGATTGCATTTTTGGGTGGTTCAAGGTCGGAATTTGGACTCCATCGACCACGACGTCAAGGGTTAAATTAATTTCCTTCGTCCAGGTGGTAAAAAGTGTTTGCTGGTGATAGTTGCAGGTTACGCGTAGTGAAGAACAGATGTATTTCATTGTGAGGGGTTCGAGGGTTTGCGTCTTTTTCTATCTCGAACGGATTTAAAACCTGGTAAAGTTATATCATGCTATAGCGATGTTTTTACAGTTCGGCAGTCGCGGACAGTTCTTTCCTGGGGAAAAAACATTCGGTCGAGCTGGGTGGATAATCTTTGACCGAGTATGACTAGTATGGTTTCGAAGGGGAATTCCCTCTAGACACAATTTACAAATTTCAATTAATTTTTTGAATGCAGAAAAGTAATATTTATCACACATACTACAATGGAGGGCATCATTCCTCTGTCTGTGATTCTATTAGTATCACATTTAAACATCATATATTTAACTCACAAATTTGAAGAAATAGATTATGGGACATAAAAAAGAAAATCATTTAACGATTTTCTTATTCCGATACCAACTACTGTGTTACTTTGACAACTTCCCTGTTATCATTGTTATAAACAATTAAACTCTTTAAAAAAACATCATACATACCAACAGCAGCTGTTGTTATACGTTCATGACCATGACCCACATGATCAGCATGGGCTTTAGTGCGATCCTCAATCATTGTTTCACGAGCCTCCGAAAGTCGTGGTAAATATTGCAAATTACGCAATTCATTGATACGTGTCCTAAAAGAAAAACATTTACAATAAAACAAACTTTAAATAAATTAAAATATAGTACAAACCTTTGTCTTTTCATGGGAGTTTTACTGTTTAACTCAGCTGTTGGTACTAACTGTTCACCAGAGCGTATCCATAAAATGGGACCATCATTGGAAAGTCGGGGATCAGTTTGTAATATTGAACAAGGACCCCAAGGCATTGTCTATAATTAAAAATTCGATTAAATTAAAGAAAACTATAAAATATTTTAATGAAATTGAGAAAACCTTTTTTAAAAACGGATTTTCTTCTATACGTCCTAATAAATCAGGAAAATAGCCTCCAACTTCTTCATGCACTTTGCCCACTAAACTGATTTGATGAAGAGGACCATAACGAAAAGTACCCTGGGAATAATTACGCACCACCTAGAGTTATAATTTGGAAGATATTAAAACATATTTAAATTAAACTTTTAATTAAACATACCTGTTCATAATATTGTGCCATGGTACAGGTTTCTATATCAGAGTTTCTACCCAAAACTCCAGCCTTAACCGTTAAGGTTGAATAATTTTCCGCCATATGTTCTAGTAAATCGGGCAAATATTTAGCTGCATCATGTACAATGCCCATAACATGATGAGCATAACCTTCTTCATCTTCAGCAAAACAAATTTCAAAAAATTCATTAACCAATTCGTCCATTTCATCGGGTGAAAGATTTTGTATTTCATCTTGATATAAATGTACCACTGAAGCACCACCATTGGGATATACTTCCACCTCAAAGTACTGACCATATTTAAGATGCTCCAGTCCCACGGGTATATGATTATTGTTGCGACTGGTACGTGTGATATTTGGTGCTGGTGCATGTTTTGCACTTTGTGTGCCCACACTGACACGACGTATTTTTGATCTTTTATAACAACGAGAACATTCCCGACTACGTGAGGACGAAGAGGAGGAAGAATTCAAACTGCTACTGTGTTTATTGGACGAAGAAGAAGATGACATTGAAGAGCGATGATGATGGTGATTATGACTACTACTGCCGGAAGAAGAACGTCTTGATGAAGTGGCCGAATGCGATGATGAAGACGATGAAGAGGTTAAAGTAGAAGTGGAAGTAGAGGAAGAAGTTGTAGAAGTAGATAAAACGGTCATAGAACTACTTGTCACTACAGGAGAAGCTACATTATGGCCCAATGACTGATGATTGCTATTTACGTTATGTGATGTTGCCACCGAGCCTTGACTTAAGGAAATGGGTGTGACAAAAGTCTTTTGAGATGGTGAAGGCATTATTATTGTTTCAATTTTTATTTTTGTTTCATTATTTATTGTTTGTTGGGGTTTGATTTTTACTTCTTCTTTTTCTATATTTTCACATTTTATTTCTGTTTTTATTAATTCAACTGGTTTTAAAGGTTCAACTCTTGTTAAGGGAGTAGTATTAACATTGTCAATTTTATTTTCACTGTTAAAATTTAATTGTCTTGCAACTTCATTTGGTTTTTTCGTAACGAGACTTTTAAAAACTTGTTCATTATTTTCCTTTTTGATTTCGATAATATTTTCATCTTTTAGTTTCAATTTAAGGGGTGAAGATTCTACCGCCGCTATATCACTTAAAGATTTGTCAGTTTTAAGGGATTGTTTATCGTGTGTTAAGCTATTTATTATGGTTTTATTACTTATTTCATCTTTCTTGTCTTCTAAGACGATTTTCTTTATTTCGGGTTTTTGATTTTCCACAACAAGTTTTCTTTCTATTGCTGTTGCTGCTGTCTCATTTTTCTCCTTTAATGATATGTCATTTTGTTTAGCAATTGTTGGAATATTGGTCACTGTTGTAACTAATGCATTTGTTTTCTCTGCATCTTTGACTTTGTCGGGTATAACATTTTCAGATGATGTTATCTTTATAGTACTGTTTTGACTGGTCTTACTACTTTCGGAACTTCGTCTACGGTGGCCGGATTCCTTGCTGGAATCCACTGATGTTTGGGACAATGATATCTGTAAATTGGTAAATATTGTTAATTAAGTGTGATCTTTATTTGCTATTAAAAGGAATTAAATTGGAGTCCAAGATTATAACAAATTCAATACCTTCTCTCTGTCCTCATTTGCGGCGCTTGTTGACAACTTTGGTGTAAAGGCACTACTACTGGTGTTTGTATTGCTGCTACTGTTAGATTTCACTTTGGGTGTAGAGCTAGAACTAGAACCATTTCCTGCCGTTTTACTACTACTAGAAACATGACTCTCTTTAGAACTTGATTTAGAGCTAGAACGATCTGTGCTGCTCTTAGACGAAGATGAAGAAGAGTGCGATTTGTGTTTATCTTTATCTTTTTTATGATGAGCACTTTTATCAGATGAAGAAGATATTTTGTCTTTTTCTTTGGATTTTTTCGTCTGATCAGCACGATCTTTGTCACGTTCCCGATCATTATCACGATCTTTTTCTTTTTTCTTCTTTTTGTGTGATTTCTCTGAAAAAATTATAAAATTAATAGAGAATATTTATTAATAGTTATTGCCAGTTACCTTTGTCACCACTACTGCGTTCCTTTAAAGGAGTAGTGTTAGATGAAGTTGAGGTTGTTTTAATAGCATTACGTTGTTGTTCCACATTAGTTAATGTTACCGTATTAACTATTATTGTTGTTTTTGTGTCCTTAACTGGCTGCAATTGTTTTTCTATTACCTTTTGTTCGGTTTTATTAATAGGATTTTCTAACTTCTCCTCTATTCCTTCAACTGTTTTCCCCACTATAGGTGGTGGCTCTTTCACTTTATTATTTTCATCAGCGGTAACAATATTACCACCGGCTAAATGTTCATTATTTATTTTTGTATTCATTGTTGTTGTTGTTACATGTAATTGTAATTTTTGCTGCTGTTGTTGTTGTTGCTCTTGTTGCGACTTTGAGGACGTCACATGAGTTGTTTCCACAATATTCGACATTGCGCGCCACTTCCCTACGTCGATATCAGGACGTACAAATAAATTTTTTTCCCACTACAAGACAATTTTGCCGAAGTTCATACAAAAATCGATTTTATTTGGCCGCCTCGTTAACAATATAAAAAAACACTCACTAAGCGCGCAATTTACAATAAATTTATTATTTACGTTTGCTTTTATTTTCTATTCAATACATTTAGCTTAACTTTTCCTCAATATAGATTTATTCTAAGAAAAATTTTCCCATTTTCTTTGTGCAACGCATGCAATACATTCTTTTCTTCTGCGTCACGGAAAAAATTGATTTTTTTATTTTCTTTCGCAATAATCTACACTTTTTACGTATATAACAATGTAATTTTCTGTTTTCACTTTTTACTTTAGCATAATATGACTTTGTTTTATTTGCAATTAATTATTTTTTTTTAGTATTTTTGCAAATTCCACTTCACGCGTCCATTTTTACCATAATAAAAATTACTAAACAACAGGGTTGTATTTCTCTACTTTATGTGATACAGAGATCTGTGACGACAAACTTTAACGGCGTTGGTTGACACTAAAAATTTTGGCGGCGACTTATAAACGACTACGGCAAATTTGTTTCGTTTTGAGTAATGAATAACTATTAAATGCCTGAATTTGATTATTACTATAATTTTAGTTCCATATAGTAGGTTTTGGAATTGAAAAGTAGGAATTTGATCCACATTTGCCCAAACAATGTTCGTGGAAAGCGACAGGAACTATGAGTTAAAGAACGAACTTGTTATTTCTTTATATAAATATATTATACTAATAACATACTTATATAAATATATCTGAGAGGTCCCACTTTGGGGAGGCCTGACAGCACCTCTGATGGGCCGATGCGTTTAAATTTCAAATCGCATGTAAAATTTTATGTAAATTAGACTTGCCGGTTAAAAAAATTGTCTATATCACTGTGCGCGATCAAAACTTCCTTAAACTGTAATATTTCGACAACTTAATAAAACTATTAAGCCAATTTTTTTAAACTGGAACATTTTCGACGACGTCGTCATTAAAAGTTTATTGGCGGCTAGCATATAATAAAAATTACTAAACAACATGGTTGTATTTCTCTAGTAGAGATGTGAAATGAGGCGAAAAAGTAATGCCCATCAAATTTTTCCACAGCAATGTTGTATTTAAAGCGAATTGGTAGAGTTGTCAAGTTTATATTTTATTAAAAAGGTTTTAAATAGTTTATTTTCTTATTTAACGGTTAAAAGGATTAAATTAACAATAAATATTTAATTTGATAATGGAAAGTAAATATAAAGAATGGTTTATTTTCTCAAATATGTAATCGTACTTACAAGCGAAAACAGTTTTTCGGTTTTGTGTTAATATTGATTTCCTAATTTTTGATTTAATTACATTATACATACATTACTAATACATATACATATAAAACTTAAATATAATTGTTACAATATTACTTATCGTAGAACAAGTAGGAAAAAATACCGATTATTAAATTTCCACATCAATTAAAAAATTCCCCAAATGTAAATAAATCAATTGTTTAATCATTTAGGGGAATTTTGCAATAAACAAAAATATTCTCACATTATAATTATAAATCACAAACCTTTAAGTAGATTGTTAAAAAAACTCGAAAACTTTTTCATATCTATTTTAGAGATTATTTAAAAAAAAAACATATGCAATTTGATGAAATCTGTAACTGGCACCAATCTATCTATCTATCTATCTATCTATCTATCTATCTATCATCTATCTATCTATCTATCTATCTATCTATCTATCTATCTATCTATCTATCTATCTATCTATCTATCTATCTATCTATCTATCTATCTATCTATCTATCTATCTATCTATCTATCTATCTATCTATCTATCTATCTATCTATCTATCTATCTATCTATCTATCTATCTATCTATCTATCTATCTATCTATCTATCTATCTATCTATCTATCTATCTATCTATCTATCTATCTATCTATCTATCTATCTATCTATCTATCTATCTATCTATCTATCTATCTATCTATCTATCTATCTATCTATCTATCTATCTATCTATCTATCTATCTATCTATCTATCTATCTATCTATCTATCTATCTATCTATCTATCTATCTATCTATCTATCTATCTATCTATCTATCTATCTATCTATCTATCTATCTATCTATCTATCTATCTATCTATCTATCTATCTATCTATCTATCTATCTATCTATCTATCTATCTATCTATCTATCTATCTATCTATCTATCTATCTATCTATCTATCTATCTATCTATCTATCTATCTATCTATCTATCTATCTATCTATCTATCTATCTATCTATCTATCCTATCTATCTATCTATCTATCTATCTATATCTATCTATCTATCTATCTATCTATCTATCTATCTATCTATCTATCTATCTATCTATCTATCTATCTATCTATCTATCTATCTATCTATCTATCTATCTATCTATCTATCTATCTATCTATCTATCTATCTATCTATCTATCTATCTATCTATCTATCTATCTATCTATCTATCTATCTATCTATCTATCTATCTATCTATCTATCTATCTATCTATCTATCTATCTATCTATCTATCTATCTATCTATCTATCTATCTATCTATCTATCTATCTATCTATCTATCTATCTATCTATCTATCTACTATCTATCTATCTCTATCTATCTATCTATCTATCTATCTATCTATCTATCTATCTATCTATCTATCTATCTATCTATCTATCTATCTATCTATCTATCTACTATCTCTATCTATCTATCTATCTATCTATCTATCTATCTATCTATCTATCTATCTATCTATCTATCTATCTATCTATCTATCTATCTACTCTATCTATCTATCTATCTATCTATCTATCTATCTATCTATCTATCTATCTATCTATCTATCTATCTATCTATCTCTATCTATCTATCTATCTATATCTATCTAACTAACAACTAACACAAAAAATTTACTAATCGGGTATTTAAAAACAACATTCGAAGATGAATTTTAATTTAATCTCTAATCCTTAACCCAAAAACTGTTTCTTAGTTAAACACGCTTTAACTGACGTATAAATTAAATACGATTAAACCATGATTTAACTAACAATGCTGGGTTTGACTATAACCTAATATCTAAGGAATAAATTGAAAATAAATTAAAAACAGGATTTTTTTGACCTGCAACAGATCGCTCAACTAATGCTTACTTTTCTGGCAACACTGTCAGCCAACAATTTATGCATGTATTTGAAAACGAACAACTACAGAAAATGAAGAGTATCTATAAGATTTTGAAAGTCGAAAAACAAAAACACACAATTCTCTTCAATAATAAACGTTCAATATATTACGAGTACGCACGCTAGCGAATCAACAGTTTATAGTAGAATTTCATTGTGAATAGATTAAAAAAATTAAGTACATGAACAAAATAAATATATAAATAAATAATAAACGGCGGCGGTTAATCTAATACTCTATAAAAGATACTCATAAAATTATGGAACTATAAAAATTTTATAAAGTGTCGTCTATAAATTAAAAAATGTAATAATTATTATAAAATAAATAAAAGTTTTTGTAGTGAACTCTTGTGTAGATGTAAAAGATCGTCGTTCAGCACTTTTCTGGCGTTGCATCACGTACTTTTATTTTTTTTTGCAAAAATCGTGCTTTTTTATATAATTTAACAATAATCTAAATTAAAATTAATTACACAGTCATTGTCTGTGAGACCGAATGTATAGAGAATTTATTTCAATTAATTAACATTGACTTTGAGTATATTTGCACATAATTGATTACACACCGTGAAAAATGGTTTTTCATTACTTTTCTTTTTTTTATAACTTTGATGTGTAAGAAATAAATTTTAATTTTGTCTACTTGCCAAAATGATTAAGACACAAAAACAACAAAAAAAAAACATGTTTGTAGTTGACTGACCTATTTCTTCTCGATTGTTTTTGTTTTGAAAGAAACCTACCAAAAACAAAAATAATATGCACATTTTTATGTGTGTATGGCGTTAACTATATGGATCAGGCATGGATAACTGAAATTTTGAAATAGTAGTAACTTAGACTATAGACTAGACTAGACAATAGACTAGGCAACAGACTAGACTATAGACTAGACTATAGACTAGACTATAGACTAGACTATAGACTAGACTATAGACTAGACTATAGACTAGACTATAGACTAGACTATAGACTAGACTATAGACTAGACTATAGACTAGACTATAGACTAGACTATAGACTAGACTATAGACTAGACTATAGACTAGACTATAGACTAGACTATAGACTAGACTATAGAATAGACTATAGAATAGACTATAGACTAGACTATAGAATAGACTATAGACTAGACTATAGACTAGACTATAGACTAGACTATAGACTAGACTATAGACTAGACTATAGACTAGACTATAGACTAGACTATAGACTAGACTATAGACTAGACTATAGACTAGATTATAGACTAGACTATAGACTAGACTATAGACTAGACTATAGACTAGACTATAGACTAGACTATAGACTAGACTATAGTCTAGTCTATAGTCTATATATAGTCTATAGACTATAGTCTATATAGTCTAGTCTAGACTAAGACTAGACTATAGACTAGACTATAGACTAGACTATAGACTAGACTATAGACTAGACTATAGACTAGACTATAGACTAGACTATAGACTAGACTATAGACTAGACTATAGACTAGACTATAGACTAGACTATAGACTAGACTATAGACTAGACTATAGACTAGACTATAGACTAGACTATAGACTAGACTATAGACTAGACTATAGACTAGACTATAGACTAGACTATAGACTAGACTATAGACTAGACTATAGACTAGACTATAGACTAGACTATAGACTAGACTATAGACTAGACTATAGACTAGACTATAGACTAGACTATAGAGTAGACTATAGACTAGACTATAGACTAGACTATAGAGTAGACTATAGACTAGACTATAGAGTAGACTATAGACTAGACTATAGACTAGACTATAGAGTAGACTATAGACTAGACTATAGACTAGACTATAGACTAGACTATAGACTAGACTATAGAGTAGACTATAGACTAGACTATAGAGTAGACTATAGACTAGACTATAGACTAGACTATAGACTAGACTATAGAGTAGACTATAGACTAGACAATAGACTAGACTATAGTAGACTAGACTATAGACTAGACTATAGAGTAGACTAGACTAGATAGACTAGACTATAGACTAGACTATAGACTAGACTAGACTAGACTAGACTATAGACTAGACTATAGACTAGACTATAGACTAGACTATAGACTAGACTATAGACTAGACTATAGACTAGACTATAGACTAGACTATAGACTAGACTATAGACTAGACTATAGACTAGACTATAGACTAGACTATAGACTAGACTATAGACTAGACTATAGACTAGACTATAGACTAGACTATAGACTAGACTATAGACTAGACTATAGACTAGACTATAGACTAGACTATAGACTAGACTATAGACTAGACTATAGACTAGACTATAGACTAGACTATAGACTAGACTATAGACTAGACTATAGACTAGACTATAGACTAGACTATAGACTAGACTATAGACTAGACTATAGACTAGACTATAGACTAGACTATAGACTAGACTATAGACTAGACTATAGACTAGACTATAGACTAGACTATACACTGGACTATAGACAAGAGCCTGGTCTATAGTGTAGACTATAGACTAGACTACAGACTGACTACTATGTGGACTACTTATCAAATGTTTATAAGTTAGTAGCGAATATTTCGTGGTCTTCGATATCAAAAAGTACTAATGTACTGAATTTTCCATGCCTGATATGGATATTAGAGTCGTTCAGCGGGTATATGGGAAAATAATTAATTTTTCATGAAAAAATATATTTCAACTTCTAATGGGGAAAAAATTACGAAAAAACTTCTTTATATTAGGTATACATTTTAAGAAAAGAAGACTTCTAATTTTTTAACAATTTTCTTTTTATTTAATTATTTTATAACTTTTACATTATGTACATATTTGACTACATTGTTTTAAAATATTTGTTTTCTAAAAAGAGGCATTTAGTTATCACGTGCTCAAAAATAAATACCGGGAAAGTAATACCATTTTTTTGAAAGGTGCTACGGAGTATAACAAGAATCGGATTTTGAAATTTTATAAACATCTCTAAATCTCAAGTTACCGGTACTTCGTACCTTAATGAAATTAAAATCCAGTGATCATATTGTTTACTTATACGATTTTTATTATACCTTTCACCATCGTGAGAATATTATATATGTAGTAGTTTCTACAATATAATTTTCCGTAAAGTATATTTATTGTGAAACTAAAAAATTATTTTAAGCTTATAGAGCCCGGAGTCAATTAGACCATATAAGAAACTACTGACTTGTTGGTACATTTTCGTTCTTCAAAAATTACTTTTTTGAATTTTCTACAAACGGGGTCTATTTTCACAGTTTAATACTTTAAAATAGTATACTCTGATATCTGGGATTTGACTTTTTTAAGATTTTGTTGGCCTGTGTTATAGGTATAAAAATGACATTTATTGGAAACGTGATTAAAATAATTTGTTTATAAATGTTCAAATATGATAACAATATTTAGATTTGTCATCATGAGTAAGTTTTTAAACAAAATTATATGATAATGTAACGTATTGAGATAAAGCTAATCGACCAATATTTTGGAGACACCTTAATATTAATTTAAAAATGTGCTTGTTGTATTAAAATATACTTTTCCGTGCCTACTTTTTATAAGCATTTAACGCAAAAGTGTTATAACTCAAAAAGCTTTTAATATTTAATGTAATTTTTAATAAAGTAATGCCTTATAAAAATGCCACAAGTAAGCCGAGTTTTTCCGGATTTTTCTGAAAATAAAACAAACCGAATAAAAAATGCCTCCCTAATAAGCATGTGTTTGAGTTTTTTAGAAAATTTACACACAATAGTTGTGTTTTGTTGCTATCAATGAGTGTTAACGCTTAAAGTTAGCAACAAAACGAACATTACCTGACTTGGCATCACTCCACAGAAGAAATCTGCTAAATCTTGAAATTATTTACATTTTCTTAAAAAAGGTTTTTTTATTTGATATTTTTTTTTGATTTAAATTTTATTTTAAAATATTTTTTTATTGTTTGACATAAACACATTAATATTTGTATTTTTATTTTTGAATTGGTAGCACTTTTATCGACGTTAAAATTAACTTGTATAATTTTACACGTTAACTCCTAACGTTTATAAATTTTAAATTTATATGAAATTGCCTTTGAACGTTAGCAACAAAACACAACTAATATTAATATTTAGTAAATTTTAAACCAGATTTTTTAATGAGAAGTGTGTGTTTTTTTTAATAAACATGTCTACATACAACATACATATGCATATTCAATGGCAAGATTAACCGGAAAACTTAAAAAAATATGGCTTTGACCGCTTAGAACAAGAGAAAATTTCGAAATAAATTATAAGGGCAAAAAGTATACAAAGGAAATTCGAGTAAAATTGCAATGATTCGTAACAGTAATTAATTATTCTAAACACAAACTATTTAATTACTTTATAAAGTAAAAAAGTTTTATAAACATTTTATTAAACATGTTTATGTTGTCAAATATTTGTATCAATATAAACAAAACTCTAATATTTGTAAACAATTAAAAAAAACTGGTAAAAACAAGTTATAATTATTTCATGACAATATTTGTTAATAATTTACAAAAAAAAACAAACAAATAAGTAATTAATTAACCCGACAGTGTTGACAAATATTGTGGTTTTTGTCTTTGCTAATCTTAAAGTCGACCTCATATTTATTTCATACTAGCATACCCTGGGTGCTTCGCTACCCTAACTTAAATTAAATACATACAAAATTTTGTTTACTTTTATAGAAAATTAAAATTGATTAAACATTTTTTAATGTTTAAATTCGCATTCAGTAAGAAGCTTGTATTTTTAGTTTCGTTCATTTAGCTTCCACATTATAGAAAATTTTGAAAGTACTATTTGAAAAAGTACTATACAATACCTCAAATAGATTATCATTTAATCAAAAATTTTATGTTTCTGTGTACAAAATTATATACAATTCAAAAAAATATAATTTAATGAATGAAAAAGTACCAAAAGTCCCTTTCAGTAGGCTCTCATTCACTAAATTTTATTTTCAATATCTATGTTCAATATCGTAAAAATATCAATAAGTACCATCGGTAAAACGAAAAAGTACAAAAATCTCTCCCAATAAATTCTCATTTAATAAGGACCGTGTGTTCCGGTTAACCATTATAAAGAATCTAAAAGGTACCATTTAAAGAATAGAAAAGTACCAAATAGTTCCCACTTACAGAATATTATTCAGTCAAGACCATGTATGTTAATATTAATGTTCCTAGGTGCAATATTTTAGAAAATTATGAGAAAAAAAAGTACTAAAAAGTTCTCTCTTAAAGAATCTTATTCAATGAGGACCATGTTTTGAATTCATATTAAAGAACATACAAAGAGTATCATTTCAAGAAGAAAAAGTATCAAAAGTGGAATAAATTTTACCTAAGTGGAAAGTACTAATAAAAAGAGTACAATTTTTCCCCTTTTCGCTTAGAAATATACTTTTTTCGAGAATTAAGTTTACAAAATCTTCCGTATTTAAATATATATATCACAGATAAAACTCAAACGATTCAAATCTGCCTTCATTTGTTCAAGAAAAATAGTGCATTCAAAAAGTACCAAACAATACTCGAATTGAGTCCTATATAGACCTTAGTACTCGAATTCCAAAATAATATACCAACGGCTTAATTTGTGTGAGTAAATAAACTACTTTTTCAAATTTTATAAAAATTGGCTCAATGAGTTAGAATAAAATTAAATTTCCCGTTTTTTCCCCCAGTCAAATAGTAAAAATTTTATTACAATAAATATTACAGAGTTAGTCCGTAATTTTATAAGAATAATTCAATAAACCGAAAAAGTTTTCTTAATGTGCTAAAAAAAGTACCATAAATACAGTTTTCTCCCTTTTACACCCAAAAAGGACTGAATTTTAAAAAAGTACGAAACAGGTGTCTCGTAATTTTGGGAGATGTATCCAAAATATTTATAAAAATTTTATTATGTTAATTAGTTAAAAAGTTATAAAGGGCAAAAAAAGGTACCAAAATCACCTTTGTTATACATTTTTACCCCTTAAAAGTAAGAATTTCAAAAAAGTACCAGACACCCATCTGCTCATTTTAAGAGTAGATACAGGTGCATTTAAAATTTTTGTTGTATCACTAATATTGTGTAAGATAATTAAGAAAACCCGTTTTACCAGTTTTTTCCCCTTTTTACCCGTAAATGTACAAATTTCCAAAAATCCTTAGTGGATCTACATAACCAAAAGCACATCTACTGTCAAATTTCATGATTCTAGGTTCAACCGTTTGGGCTGTGCGATGATGAATAAGTCAGTCAGTAACGCTGCTCTTTTATATATATAGATTATTTCTTGTAATGATCTTTATAGAAAATGTAATCATGTTTTAAATATAACCACTGATATTTTAGAAATATTTTGTGTTTAATTGCCTAACTAATATTGGGGTTATGATGTGCCATATTAAAGACAGAACTTTGTATACTTCAGATTATATATAAGATCCACGATAAGACTAAAGATAAGGCTACAGATAAGAATATAATTTAGACTTAAGACACGACTATAGTCCATCATATAGTTTAGTCCAGACTATAGGCAAAAGACAAGACCCTTGTCTAGGCTATAGTAAAGACAAGACTGTAGTCTCGACTACATTATAGACTATATATAAAAATCACTATAGGCAAGATTGTAGTCCAGACTATAGACAAGGCTATTGTCCAGACTAGACAATATATAAGACTATAGTTTCAACTATAGACAAGACAATAGCTTAGACTATAGACAGGACTATAGACAAGAATACAGTTTAGACTATAGGCAAAACTATAGTTTAGGCTATAGTCTAGAAAATAGGCAAGACTATAGTCTAGACTATAAACAAAACTATAGTCTAGACTATAAACTACAGTCACAGAGTATGAACAAAACTACAGCCTAGAATATAGACAATACTATAGTCTAGACTAATTCAGACTATTGTCAAGACTATACCCAGCAAAAAAAGACGTGCAAAAAAAGTAGTAAATGCATGGGTTGAACTGATAATGAACTGGTTCATATTTAGGGGAAACATGCATGATTTTAACATTAGCGTGTCATTGGCATGCATGGGTTCGTATTTGCAAAAATAGTTCGTCATTTAAATGAGTTCTTATAACCAATGAATATTCGATGATTCTCAAGCGAATTTTCATTGGTGCACTATATTTATTTAAAAATGCATTAATGGTACTTCGATTTAATTATCAATATTTAAATAATTTTTTTGAGTGATATTGACAAAAATAGAATAAGATAAAACATAACTAACTGATTTTGATTGGATTTAAATTCATGCAGAGGAAAAATACCCATTGTGTTTTAAAATCCGTTAAGCAGTCTTGGTTTTTTCCTTCTCTTATTAATGGACTTAATATTACTAATTTTAATGGACTTAATATTACTAATTTTAACAAAAATCTAATAAAAAATTAATGTCATTTTTAATCTTTATTGTATGAAATGCACGTTTTCGTTAAATCTCCTAAGAGAATACCAAATTACAGTAAAATATTACAATTCCTATAGTGGAGTTACATGAGTGAATTTGGGTGCATTTTTCATGCCTTCACTGATGATAAATTTATTATAATTTAGGCATGTATTTAAAACGCATTAAATATAATACTTACTAAAGAAATCATGAAAATATCCCTTCTTCTTTAACAACTTAAAAATTTTTTTGCTGGGTAGTTCAGACTCAATACAAAATTATAGTCTAGTATATAGACAAAACTATTGTCACACTTAAGATAAGATAATAATAGACTATAGATAAGATTAAATACAGAATATCTTACTAACTATAGTCTAGGCTATAGGTTGCCAACCTCAGGAGAAATAAGAAAAGTGTTGATAATCTAAAATTTCGCCACTTTCGATGTACACATTTTTACATAAACGATTTATTTTATATATATTTTTCCAAACAGATAACCCCAGCTACTAATTATTGGGAAAATAAGCCTGAAAGAAAATGGCTACCTTAACATGGGCCTGTATATTCACAATAATTCTACTAACAACACCTACAATAGACTGTCGACGTAAAAAAATCTTGGGTTTATTTCCACATCCCGGAGTCAGTCATTTTCATTTCTTTCATCCAATACTAAGGGGACTGGCCGAGCGTGGTCATGAAGTAACAGTGGTCAGTCATTTTCCCGACAAAAGTCCACCCATTGGCTATCAAGATGTGCCGTTAACTGGACGTGAAACTTTGACCAATAGTGTGGACTTGAAGGTAAGTTTAAGCATAATAAGAAGATAATAATTTGTAATTAAAATTTCATTTTTTATTATAGTTTTTCGAAAATCGTAATTTTTACAATCACTTCGTTGAATTTTTTATGCTGTACGAATGGGGTATTGAGGCCTGTAATCATACCTTAAGATCGGATGCTTTGCGTCAAGTAATGCGTCAGGGACAACGTTATGATGTCATCTTAATGGAACAATTCAATAGTGATTGTATGATGGGTGTGGCACATTTATTGGGCGCGCCCGTTATAGCGCTTAGCAGTTGCGCCATGATGCCTTGGCACTATGAACGTATGGGTATGCCCATTATACCTTCCTATATACCGGCCTTATTTATGGGTCAATCAGAGGAAATGAGTTTAACTGGACGCATAGGCAACTGGATCACTTTTCATGCCATGAATTTAATGTATAAACTATTTTCAATTCCTGCCGCCGATTCTTTGGTACAATACAAGTTTGGACGTGATATGCCTTCGGTGGGAGAATTAGTTAAGGAGACAAATCTCATGTTTGTCAATCAGCATTTCTCTTTGAGTGGCTCTAAGCCTCTACCACCTTCGGTGGTGGAATTGGGTGGCATACATATACAAAAAGCCAAACCTCTCGATGTGGATTTGCAAAAGTTTTTAGATAATGCTGAACATGGCGTAGTGTTTATTAGTTGGGGTTCCATGATCAAGGCTGAGACTATGCCTCCCGCTAAACGTGATGCTATTGTTAAGGCTATGAAACGCTTGAAACAGCGTGTTATTTGGAAATGGGAAAATGATTCCCTAGCAAATAAACCCGATAATATGTATATAAATAAATGGTTGCCTCAACGAGATATACTTTGCCATCCCAATGTTAAAGTATTTATGACCCACGCTGGACTCATGGGTAGTTCTGAGGCAGCTTATTGTGGTGTGCCAGTGGTGTCTACTCCCATGTATGGTGATCAGTTCCTAAATGCAGCTGCTATGCAGCAAAGAGGCATGGGTGTCATTTTACATTATGAAGATATTAATGAGAATAGTGTACTCAGAGCGGTGAAAAAAGTTTTGGAAAAACAGTAAGTTCTTTGATTAAACTACGGATTAACGAATATAACACTGTGTAACAGTAAAAAATTAATCCACATGTGTCCAAGTGCAGTTTGTAGATCAAGTTGAGTTAATCCAAAATAAAGATTTTTAAGTATTGTCGAACTTTTTTGAAACGGCAATAGAAATATTGGGAGGAAATTTTCGATTTTCGAGGTACTAGTTCTATAAACTGCACTATAGACCACTTGGAGAGTATATTATTATTATTTTTTGCAATTTAGTAATAAAATTAAATCTTTTTATCCAACAGATATTTCGATAATGCCAAAATGGTTTCCTATTCCTTTAAACATCGCCCTCAGGCAGCTTTAGATACGGCCATGTGGTGGGTAGAATACATTGCCAATACGGAAGGTTCACAACTGGTCAAATCGTCTTCAGTTCATATGTCACGTTTCGTTTACTATTCCCTTGATGTCTATCTAATTATTGGCTTCGTTCTTATGACTTCAGTGGTTTCTTGGTATTGGGTCATCAATAAATTAACTTCGAAACGTAATAAACAACAAAAGATCAAAACCAAGTAGAGGAGCAGTGGAGTTAACTGTGTGTGAAGGCAAAAATAAATCAAACGAATTTAAATTATTTGTGTGGACTTGTGTAATTTGTGATATTTTTTTTTTTTTTTTTTCATTGAAAATACAAAAAATAAAATATTTATTTTGTATGAAAAGTGCGATGATGAGATTGAAGTGTAATTAAGAAAAAATTTTATATAATTAAAAATTGAATTATACCTACGACTTAAATATCGATTTCGTTGTTAATTTAGAAAATAGTTTATTTTAAAAACATTTTTTTTTAATAACTTACTTAAAACAAAATTTGAAATTTGTTTTTAAAAAATTTAATTTTGAAATTGGAAAATGTAAAAAATTGGCTTTTAATAAACCTGAAATTATATTTTTATGGGTCTTCATAATTTAGAGATTATTTATCGTTAATTATTGACTTTGGCCTTTCTCGAAACTAGGAACACTTTAGGGAACAAATACATATGTATGTGTCAAGCATAGAAAATTTGGAAATAGTACTAACTTATAACAAATATAGTACTTTTTTAGGTTTTGTAGTACTAAACTAATCTTCCGCTAGATTATAGGCCAGACTATAGATTATAATATAGACTAAACTATAGACTAGACTGTAGACTAGAAACTAGACTATACACTAGACTATACTATACCGTAAAGTAGATTATAGACGAGACTATAGATTATACCATAGACTAAACTATAGTCTAGCCTACAGACTTTAATAGACTACAAACTAGTCTATTTCTACTATGTGGATAATTTACCAAATGTTTATAAGTTAGAAAAAGTATCGAAGATGTCAATATCAAAAAGTATTTAAAAAAGTACTAAAGTACTGAATTTGACATGTCTGATATGTATAGTTTTTTCATAAAAGTTTCGTTTCTTTACGATTTTTGTAAAAAACTGTCGGCGATTCTTTTATATAAAATTTGTTGAGATAAAAATTGTAACAATTATAATATATGGGTAAAATTCAATTCAAAATACTATTTTTTTGTTATTTTTATAAATTCGCTTTAATATATTCTTATTAGACAATACTAATAAGCTATCGTTCTTTTGTCACCACTATGAGTTAAGAAAACATAAGAAAATTACCATCTCTAGCATAAAAGTGTTGCCAAATCCTTATCTTTAAGTTGGCAACACTTGTGCTGAAACAAAAACAAAGTAATATTTTTTTATTATCTCTGCACATACATTCTTATATATACCGATAGTAATTATTAATGAAAAATTTTGCAATTACTCGAATTCATTAACTAAAGGGAGTTCCAACAATTAACAAGGAATCAACAAATACTTTACAAAAAAACATTCCAGTTATAGTAAACAAATAAGAAACCAATAAAAAATGGCCAAAACCCGTGTTTATGTTGTTGGTGTCGGCATGACCAAGGTATGTACAAATAAGAAAAGAAAAAATTTACTGTTTGTTAAAATTTATTGAAAAATTAAGCAACTAACTTTTGAACTTTGATCTTAGAATATTTATGCCTTTATTTATTATATATTTTACTAAATAAAGTTATGTTTTTGGTGGTATAAACTTAAACGATAATGCAAATTAATTTTACTTTTGTTTGGAAGTGTTAAAGGGAGTAGTAGATACTTATCAAGAGGAATCTTTTTAGAATGTATAAAATGGACTTTGCTTTGTTGAAATAGAAATGTTAAAAAGATTTTACAATGTTGAAGGCTAAAGTCTATACTTTAGGCAATAATAGTTTTGCAAAGGCCCCTTTTACGGATAATTCTATTACATTAAAATTATTTAACCCTCTGTAAGCTGGAATTAAATTTGCATACCCTACACCACTGTAGTAATTAGTAATTAGATTCGTCTTTATTAGCTCAATTGTGATCTGCGTAGGGCTTCATAAACTGGAAATTTATTTCTTATCCTAGTGGTTTGTGTTAATTTAATAATAATTTCCTAAGTCGATGCAGCGACTCAGATATCAATTTATAATGTCTTACAACCACCCTCGTTTTGCCGAATCTAATTTAAAATGTGCATCCGTTTTATCGGCTCTAATATTATCTTTGCAATCAGATAAGAATCGTATTTAGCAATTACCTTCCGTTTGTGTAGGATATCATTTATTCGGCTTTACTTCACTACTTTTGTTTACATTTTTTGCTTCGTAGAATTAAACGTAATTAAATTCATTTTGGCCTAAATTAAAACAATTAAGTGCATTACCACACAACCATTAGAGAGATCAACACTAGATACCTAGAAACTAAAGGTAATAAAATCCACTTTACGACTTTACAAACGACTTTAGGGAAAGTGTAGTAGTTAATATTATAATTAAAATACTCTTCCAATTAAACATAAATCGATTTTAAGTAAATAGAACTGATCTAGAACTGAACTGAACTAGGACTGAACTAGAACTGAACTGAACTAGCACTGAAAGAGAATTGAACTAGAACTGAACTAGAACTGAACTAGAACTGAACTAGAACTGAACTAGAACCTAGAACTGAACTAGAACTGAACTAGAACTGACTAGAACTGAACTAGAACTGAACTAGAACTGAACTAGAACTGAACTAGAACTGAACTAGAACTGAACTAGAACTGAACTAGAACTGAACTAGAACTGAACTAGAACTGAACTAGAACTGAACTAGAACTGAACTAGAACTAAACTAGAATGAATTAGAACTGAACTAGAACTGAACTAGAACTGAACTAGAACTGAACTAGAACTGAACTAGAACTGAACTAGAACTGAACTAGAACTGAACTAGAACTGAACTAGAACTGAACTAGAACTGAACTAGAACTGAACTAGAGCTGAACTAGAACTGAACTAGAACTGAACTAGAACTGAACTAGAACTGAACTAGAACTGAACTAGAACTGAACTAGAACTGAACTAGAACTGAATTAGAACTGAACTAGAACTGAACTAGAACTGAACTAGAACTGAACTAGAACTGAACCAGAACTGAACTAGAACTGAACTAGAACTGAACTAGAACTGAACTAGAACTGAACTAGAACTGAACTTGAACTGAACTAGAACTGAACTAGAACTGAACTAGAGCTGAACTAGAACTGAACTAGAACTGAACTAGAACTGAACTAGAACTGAACTAGAACTGAACTAGAACTGAACTAGAACTGAACTAGAACTGAACTAGAACTGAACTAGAACTGAACTAGAACTGAACTAGAACTGAACTAGAACTGAACTAGAACTGAACTAGAACTGAACTAGAACTGAACTAGAACTGAACTAGAACTGAACTAGAACTGAACTAGAACTGAACTAGAACTGAACTAGAACTGAACTAGAACTGAACTAGAACTGAACTAGACTGAACTAGAACTGAACTAGAACAGAACTAGAACTGAACTAGAACTGAACTAGAACAGAACTAGAACTGAACTAGAACTGAACTAGAACTGAACTAGAACTGAACTAGAACTGAACTAGAACTGAACTAGAACTGAACTAGAACTGAACTAGAACTGAACTAGAACTGAACTAGAACTGAACTAGAACTGAACTAGAACTGAACTAGAACTGAACTAGAACTGATCTAGAACTGATCTAGAACTGAACTAGAACTGAACTAGAACTGAACTAGAACTGAACTAGAACTGAACTAGAACTGAACAACTAGAAACTGAACTAGAACTGAACTAGAACTGAACTAGAACTGAACTAGAACTGAACTAGAACTGAACTAGAAGAACTGAACTAGAACTGAACTAGAACTGAACTAGAACTGAACTAGAACTGAACTAGAACTGAACTAGAACTGAACTGGAACTGAACTAGAACTAAACTAGAACTGAACTAGAACTGAACCAGAACTGAACTAGAACTGAACTAGAACTGAACTAGAACTGACCTAGAACTGACTAGAACTGAACTAGAACTGAACTAGAACTGAACTAGAACTGAACTAGAACTGAACTAGAACTGAACTAGAACTGAACTAGAACTGAACTAGAACTGAACTAGAACTGAACTAGAACTGAACTGGAACTGAAGTAGAACTGAACTAGAACTGAACTAGAACTGAACTAGAACTGAACTAGAACTGAACTAGAACTGAACTAGAACTGAACTAGAACTGAACTAGAACTGAACTAGAACTGAACTAGAACTGAACTAGAACTGAACTAGAACTGAACTAGAACTGAACTAGAACTGAACTAGAACTGAACTAGAACTGAACTAAAACTGAACTAGAACTGAACTGGAACTGAACTAGAACTGAACTAGAACTTAACATAACTGAACTAGAACTTAATCTATTAATAACAAAATACTCCGACTTGATATTAATTCTATTATTCTCTTTTAGTTTGAGAAACCAGGTCGCCGTCAAGATGTCTGTTATCCCGATATGGCCAAGGAAGCCATTACCAAAGCTTTAGCTGATGCCAAAATCGCCTACAATGAAATCCAACAAGCCACCGTGGGTTATGTTTATGGTGATTCCACCTGTGGACAACGTGCCCTTTATGAAGTAGGCATGACCGGAATACCCGTATACAATGTCAACAACAATTGCTCTACCGGTTCTAGTGCTTTATACTTGGGTAAACAAATTATAGAATCGGGTAATGCTGATTGTGTTTTAGCTTTGGGTTTTGAGAAAATGGAACGTGGTTCCTTATCAGCTAAGGTAATGATTTTATACTTTAAAATTAAACCAAATAACTAAAAAAAATTTTCTTTTTTAAATAAATAGTATTTTGATCGTGCCAATCCCATGGAACGACACATCACCGAAATGGCTGAATTAACTGAAATTGGCACTGGTCCCATGGCTGCTCAAATTTTCGGTAACGCAGGCTTAGAACATATGAGAAAATATGGCAGCAAACCTGAACATTTTGGTAAAATTGCCTGGAAAAATCATAAACATTCTGTAAATAATCCGTAAGTAAAATACTGTTATTATTTAGTATCAACATTCATATTTCATTTAAATTATTTTTACTGATATCTTATCAGTAAATTCATACTGTAAATGAGTATAATAAACAGGAACAAAGTTTAATTTTTTTTGCATGTATATAAATAAATTATCGCACCTGATTAGCATTCAAAAAAAGCCTAAAATAATGAAAGTCATTATTTGTTAATTAGGGTTCAACAAAATAATTAAATTTTCAAATATTTGAACTGCAAATTGCATGGAATCCTTAGGCATAAACAGAGGAAGTTTGAATT